CGTATATACTATATATATATATATATATATATATATATATATATATATATATATATATATACGCGAATTTATGTCATTACATCCATGTAATTGCGTGAAAGAGAAGCGAAAGATGGGAAATGGTGATATCACTCGAAATTCAACTTTCTTCCCTTTGCAAAACGGAATGGAAATGTTCTCTGAATTCGAAAGGATAATTAGAATATTAGACCGCTTTGAATTTTTTTATTATAAAATATTATTTATTATAAAATATTTTATAAATGATGAAGATGAGGATGATATCAAATTTTATATGAAAATAAAATGGAAAACATATTCGCAATATCTGTTTACTGTTTCGTGTAAAAAATTTCCTATCTTTATATGAATGTTATATATTTCATATTTATAATAATTTAATAGAGAGATATATATAGTTAAGTAATAGTTTCGCCCAAATTCAGCTCTCTTTTTTTTCTACAAGAAACGAAAATGTTTACAAATTCTCACGTACGATTTGAAAAAGCGATTAGATTAGAAGAGATCAGAAAATCTTAGATTTTTCACTATATACTGAGATTCTTTTATAAGTGAAGATGACAAAAATAATGTGCAATATTATACGAAGATAAATTGATTGAAAATATATGTGCAATATTTTTTTGCTTGATATGGAAAATATCACAACTCATCAATATACATGAATTTATATTTCTTCATAATCATCGAATAAAGCGAGAAATAATAGTACTAGTTAAATTCAACTTTCTTATTTTCCATATAAAAGAAATGAAAATATGCTTTTAAATTTCCACGATTTGAGAAAATGATTAGTAGATATCAGAATGTCTTAATCTTCTCTCAATAGAGCTCTTCACATAAATTAGGCGATAAAGATTATAACAAATGTTTTAAGAAGATAAAAATCTTCATTATTTAAAAATATCGTAATATCTGTCTGATATAGAAAGTTAAAATATCTTATTAATATCAAATTGATATTTCTTTGTATAATTATCTAAAAAAATAAACGAAAGCGAAAATTAAAAATATCACGAAAAATTAGATCTTTTTGCAGTACAAAGTATATTTTTAAATTATATTACAGCTAACAGGTAGTGCGTATATGTTTTATACAAAAATTTTGGAGCTTCTGGATGCTTCTGGATGTGCGTTCAAGAATTTGCGACGACTCGAGGTATCGCTGAAATATTCACGATCATACTGCATGTACCGGAAGAAGAAAGATGAAGCAGGAAGAAGATGAGAGATGGGAGAGATGGCAACCTCAGCCGCGTAGGATAACAATGGACCACTTGTTAGGTAGCCCTCCCTCGACACCAGGAATACAACGAATACTATTGGTTATTCATTGAGGTCTTTTTCAAAGCTGGGGCTATCTCGGTAAATCGGTCTAGAAATAGATCTGATCCAGTTATTATTCAATTGAATTCAAACTTTACTATCAGTCTCGGGGAAACTATCGCATCGTCGCGATTTTTTCACACGGTGTGTGTGTGTGTGTGTGTGTGTGTGTGTGTGTGTGTGTGTGTGTGTGTGTGTGTGTGTGTGTGTGTGTGTGTGTGTGTAATAATACTAAGTTAGTGTTACGTAATTACCGTTACGTAATTACGTAATTTAGTTGGTTAAGTTAATTAATTACAATAATAACAATACGAATGGTAAAAATAATAAATAGTAAAATAAAGAATAATAATACTAAATAAAGGAAATTAAAAATTAAGTCAATATTATACATTATATGTCATTTGTCTTTTTTCTACATTTGTAGAAAGAGAGAGAGAGAGAGAGAGAAAGAAATTTTATATATAATTTTCAATTTTTACTTAATATTAGCTTAATAATTTTAATAATTTAGCTTTTCTCAGTTTTCATTTTTTTGTAGCAATTTCTTATGTGCAAAAATATTTGTAGTTATTTAAGCATTCTTCCATCGAGCGGAACAACGATGCAAGCGCATGATGTAGCGAATTTACGACACGGAAGTAAAATTCAATTGTCGAAGGATGGGCAAGATATGAAGGATGGGAGAGAGAGAAAACACAAGAAATGAGATCAAGATGAGCGAGATGGCAAGAAACCGGCGCGATTGGATGAAAGAGGTTAAAAAACTGGTTCCCTTCATCAAAATTTGTTTTCATTTTTTTTTTATTAATTTGATTTTCGATTTCCGCGTATTTATATATATGCACAATAAAATCAGTTACGATTTCTTAATAACGATTATGTGATTATAAATTAGAAATTAAAAGGAATTGATTTTTGATTTACGACAAATGAAAAAATCTGCAAGTGCAAATAGCTATGAGAATAGATGATTTTGATAAAAATAAAAATAATAAAATTTCAGTATTTGATTTTTTTTAAATGAGCTATATAGTTACAAGTTGAAAACAGAAAGGAATTAATGCTCGATTCGTGGCAAATAAAAAAAATCTAATCTTAAATAGTTATGACAGATATAAGCACGACATGAATATATTTGATTTAATTAATTGTAAGAAAGAAAAAAGTAAGTGAAAAAGCTATTGTTTAGAAGAATAAAAGGAAAAAAACTTCAGAAAAACCTATATTATAATTTAATTGATTATAAATAAATGTTCTTAAAATTGCAAGTGCTCTAAAAATCTAGATTAAAATAAATTTTAAAAAATTCGTACAAACTAAATGCTTTAAATCTTTTATATTAGAAATCATTGGATTAATTTAAAATAAATATTGCGTTTACCTTTGAACTTTTATTCTTTGCTTTTTACAATATATTTTGAAGCTAATATAAATATAAAAAAATAGTATGTTCTAAACTGAGATTTTATTAGTTATCTTATTAAAATTAATATAAAATTAATTAACAGAGTAAAAAGTTTAATAAAATTAGCTTATGTATTAATATATCGTTGAAAAACTTTAGAGACGATTTTAGTTTAAGATAAAATTCTATTTACAACTTATTTATAATTTTTTGCGTCATGTGCGTATGTACAATGCGAAAAAATATTTCAAAATTAAAATACATATATACCATAAAATATTATATATTAAAACGTACATGTATTATCAAAATAAAATATAAATAGAATATCATTTTGAATGCCAGCGTGAATTATCTCGTCTAAACTAAATTTCTCAAGAAGTAAAATAAGAAGCGCGTAAAAAAATAATCTTGCAAAAAAATGATCTCTCCTAGCGAAAATTATCTAGATATGAAAAATTAGCTGAAATGAATAAATAAAAACTGTACTGTACGAGATCGCGTATATATCTAATTAATGCAGATGACAGAGACAGAATTATTTCTGAATTTATATCTGGATAATATGTCAAATTTATTTTTATTAGCGAGAAAGTTTCTCTGTAGCGCCTAATCAGGTAATAATTCACACCTCTTACAAGCTGTGACTGTGTAATTTATTGGGTACAACATCTAAATTTTTTGCATATATTGTTTGTAGAGATATTACTGCTGTTCTAATAAATTCTACGTACGACGAACAATTTTCTAGCAGATAGAAGAAAATAGTAGATACATTTTAACTGTAATTAGAACTCCGGCTGAACATGTTTTTTTTTTTTTAATTGACACGGGAGCAGACGCGCGCGCGCGCGCGCGCAAGAATTGGCGAAGCGAGTTCGGAAACTCCTCGGGGCATATTGTGCACGCAGCCTTAACCTGCGGCGCGTCCGTTCTCGCTCCCCCGTCGTGCCCCGGGTCCGTCTGCGAGATCTCTATCTCGCTCCACGGAGAGGTTTTGCTACTCGCTCCGCGTGCCTCGACTCTCATTGAGAGTCAGTCAGTCAGTCAGTCAGTTCGCCGGAGCGACGCGGTTCGCGCGCATCGTCGTTACGTATCGCGCGCTGTTCGCAAGCGAGAGAAGGGTTCGCGCGCCTCTCTCTCGTCCTGCTCCCTTTCGTCCACCCTCTTTATTCCTCCTTCTCTCTCCTCTCTCTCTTTCTCTCTCTCTCTGCTTTACCGATCGAGGGGGTAGACAACCGTGCGTTGAAATCACCGCGGGATCTCTCCGGCATCTCCGCCGCGGCGAGGAGACGCGCGATCGTGTCCCGTGCGCGCGCGCCCCGTGAAATCCCCCGATTTCACGCGTCGGATCGCCAACGGCACGCACGCTGGCACGTTGAACTATAGGGAGGCGGCCCGCGGGAAACGTTGCGCGTTAACCGCCCGTGCACGCACGGGCGGCTGCCAAGGAAGGGGCGGGCTTCCTTACCGGTGTGCGTGCAACACCTGGTGGCGGCGACAGCGGCGGCAGCAGCGGTGACGACGACGACGACGACGACGACAACGACGACAACGACGACAACGACGACGACGACAACGACGACGACGGCGGCGACAGCGGCAGCACGTCCCGGGCAATTATTATGCGATCGGCTGCGGCCGTCCTGGCCGCGGCGGCGGCTCTGGCCCTTCTCCTGGACACGGTACTCGCCCGGCACCAGCATCGCTCCGGGAATCCCACCGGCCCCAGAGCGTCCGGTGACATCTCCCTCTGGATCGACCAGCAACAAATAAAAATGTTCAGCGGTAGATGTTCAGATTCAGTTCGCACACAGATGTTGAGTGATCGTCCTCGGATTTCTTCCCCCCTTAGCCCGATACGTGACCCCCTTTTCTTCGTATCGTCGATCGCTGCTCCAATATGCTCCGAAATGCTCCGCTCGAGATTTATACGTATACATATTCGATAAGTATGATCCGGGCGCGAAAGTATATCGTTATAAAATAGGGAAAAGCGAAAATGAATAAGAAAAGATAAAGAAAAGAGAGAAAAAAAATGAATGATTCGATCCGCGCGGTAGCGAGCAACGGTCGTCGGCGACACGCGATGAAATTCTCGTAAACATAATCAATGCAAAAGATTTGAAATTGTCTGAAATTGTTTTCATGGCAATGCAGGGCTGGCAATGGAAATATACGCGATTGCGGAGGGCAAAGTACTGTCGTACCTTTTGGATCCAGAATTTGAGAACAAACTGCCTATTATACCGAGCGAGGTGTCGCACGTGAATTTCACGTGGAAGTCAGGAGTAAAAAAGTACTTTTACAACTTTTTTCACTTAAAGTCGTTCGACGAGAGCATCTTGAAAACTCCATCCATCACGATTAAAACGCAAGGACGGGTGCCCAAGAGACCGAAAGGTAAAGGATTTAATATCACTATCAGATATATAAGCTAATTAATACGTGAGAAAACTAATTAAAGTAAATAATCTTCATGTAA